TGAGGAAACTGAGGCAAACAGGGTAAGTGACTTGCCCAAGGTCACACAGCTTGTAAGCATCTGAGGTCAGATTTGAACTGAAGAAGGTAAGTCTTCCTGACTCCCGGTCTGGTGTTTTGTGCACTATGGTGCCCCCTAGTTGCCCAAGAACTTCCCTACTAGACAAGAAAATAGTTAGTTACATTTCCAGGCACCTAAACTACCTTCCAGGCTCTGCTCTGACTCTACTGTCTCTCAACCAATTAATGTTTTAGTTGCCATCCCCCAAATACTCTATATTTACTTTGCATGTGTGGTGGATGTCCAAGAAAGGGAAGTGGTGAAATGTCTAGAGACTGGGCTTTAGAGTTAAGAAGATTCAAGGCTCACCTTTCACACATATTGGCTGGTTGACCCTGGGAAAATTACCTGACATCTCAGCGCTCTCAGAAGGCTCTCTAAGAAGGCTCTGTGTCAGGTAGAACATGCCACCCTTTGCTGGTAGAGGTAGCTTTCATGCATGGGAATTCTCCATTATCAAATGAATTATAGATCCAGCCCTTACCTCTATCTGTGTAACTGTCATCCAGACTGCTTATTTGTTCTCAGTTTTTCAGATTTTCACCTTGGAAATTCTCTTGCTCCACACTTGTTCACTACCAGGACAACTTTCTAAAACAATGGATCTCAAACTTTTGTGGTCTGTATCAGTACTTCTTAAACTGTGGGTCATGACCCAATATGAGATCATGTAACTGAATATGGGGGCCGTGAAAAATTTGACAGCAGTAGGTTTCTGAATGCACAATGACCAAAAATTAATTCAAAATCAAAATGAATCCGAGGTATTTCTGGCAGCTTTTGCTCATATTGCATCACATGACTTCATTGCAGCCTTACTTCTGAACACAGCATTGATGATTACAAAATCAAAATATTGATCAACTCTGACAAACATTGAAGATGCTCTCTGTCCTGTGGCATCAAATATTCCACCCAGATTTAATTGTCTATGTAAAAATCAGTAAGCACATCAATTTCATTAATATGCAAATTTGCTTTCATCATTAATAAATGGTAAAATTATATGCATACCAAGGAATTGTTTTAAAGTATGATTTTATGATTTATTATCAGTAAATGTTTGATTTGTATACCTATTTTATATATCTATATACCTGGAGTTGTGCAAAAATTTCTTGGGCAAAATGGAGTTACAAGTGGAAAAAATTTAAGAAGCCCTGGTTTGTATTATAGGCTTTCTATGGGCTCCCCAGGAATGAATGATTGATTGAATGTGGAGGGGGAAGGAGGGAGGCATTAATTAGACGACTTTATTATAAGCAACACATGGAGGCAGGAGGTCCACAGAGGTTGAATGACTCACCCAAGGTCACACAGGGTGCTCCTTAGAGAAGCTCTTTTTCTTTCTCTGGTCTATAACCTTTCATATGCCAGGATCCCTTCTTCCCCTCTTTGTTGCCCACTTGGAAATCCCCACAGTTCAGACTCCAGATCACTTTCCCAATCTGAACAACAGCCAAGTAAAATGAACAAGGCAGACATTAAAATCCTCATTTGTGATTTCATCAGTGTGGGGAACTCCCAGTGTTCTAACTCCTTCTACCAGTGCAGTTAATAACTAACTCAGAAAGTCACCTCAAGGCACCAAGAGGTTGATTGTCTTGCACAAGGAGACGATGGTTTGTATTTGTCAACTTGAACACTGGTCTCCAAGACTCCAAGACTGGCCCTCTGACTACTATATAACGCTACCTCTATCTCCATTATATAGAAATAATGGAGGCTTGATGACATGAAAAGCTTACCTCAATAATCTATAGATAGTAAGGTTAGAGTGGACTCCAAACAGTCTCAGACAGGTACCTGAATCCTGCACTCTTTCCACTATACTATAAACTGCCTCACACTAAAGTCAACAAAGCTACTTTTTATGGTATGAAATATTCTGCTAGATTCTTATTCTCTTGCTGATAATACCTTCTGCCCCCACCAATGTTCTCTCCCTCATCAAATTACTTTTACTACCTAGTCTAGATCTTTCCTTTGACTTAATCTCAAACTGATTTTTAGCGATCTTATTTGTATATTTATCTTAGGATAGGGATTGTACCTGTGGTTTTGTTGATATAAGGAAGTTCCAGGGGAGAAAAGTTCCTTTACCACTACGGGTAGGCACCTTCTCTGTAACTGATGAAGTTCCCTATGTTTAGCCCACACAAAGTCTCAGATTCTGTTCTCCAGCCATGTTTATGACCCTGCCACCATATGTGTACCCTCGTCCCACTTTCTACTCCTGGTCTGGGAACAATCATTGAATCAAAAGGACCATTCTTGGAAAGAACACATCAATTAATTGCCCTGTGTCTCCAATCACCATCCCCTCGGCTTTCTCTGTCCAAATCACTCCTCCCTGGCCACCGCTTCTCTATGTATGTTGTCTTCCCCCTACTAGGACAAAACTTCTGTGGGCTTAGGGTGGGCAGAAACAATCTTGTTTTTCTCAGTATTTGACCCAGTATCTGGCACATATCAAGTACCATTAAATGCCTTTTTCACTCGTTCATTCATTCATTCATTCATTCATTCATTCATTCATTCCAGTCATCCATTCACATATTAATTTTTCACCACCAGTTTCACTATAGAATGACAGAATTTTTTTCAGTGATTAGATGATCCACACTGACGTCAATCAGACCCACGAAATTTGACAGTAACTGGTAGATTAAGGCCTAGAGGATGGAGAGGTTCCAACATTTGACCAGTGTAATGGCACCATCATTGGAACAAAGGCCCCATGACTTCACAGCTAGTGCTCCTTCCTCAAGCTACACAGGCCCTTCTCTTCTCCCAGTCACTATAATGACTGACTGAGATAATGAGTCTGTGTGTTGATGTAATAGTAAACACACAGCCTCTTGTTACCATGGGAAAAAGAACATATTTTCAAGCCAAAAGACTTCAGTTCAAATTCTGACTCTGCTATTGTTTCCCAGTGGGACTTTGGACAAATCATGCCCTTTTTTTGGCCCTCAGTTTCCTCTTGTGTAAAATGAGGAGGGTTGGACTATATGGTCTCTAAGTTTTTTCCAGTGAGTCCCTTCTTCTTAAAGTTGTCATCCATAAACTCTGTTGTACCCTGTATGTACATGTTATCTTCCCCATAAGACTGTGAGTTCCTTGAACATGGACATTGTTTTTGCTTTCTTTTTCTATCCTCAGCACTTAGCATAAACCCTGGCACACAGCAGGTGCTTAAAAATGCTTATCTATTTAGTGATAGGTAGATTGATTTCAACTTTGAATTTATGATCCTAGATTTGTATCCTCCCTTCACATTTTAAAAAGCTTGATCTTTCTTTTAAAGTGTGTGTGTGTGTGGTGTGTGTGTGTGTGTGTGTGTGTGTGTGTGTATACCTTTCTAATCTAGTACATGACTTGGCTGGCAGACTGCTGAGATATCATGATGGACAGCCCTGGGTATGGCAAGCTGAAAGTGCCCTATTCCAGCCCTAAATTCCTGTAGTAGGCTCAGGAGGAAAATCTGATCCACTCATTCCATATGTTATCATTGTTTACCTTGAAATATCTTACATACTGTGGTCTTCTACTTAACTCATTTATCTAATTTTTCAAGTACATGAGTTTGGTCTTTCAACACAAATATAAACTCATGGGTTGCAGCATCTTTGTCTTATTTCACCGTTGTATTTCACTCCCAACTGAGGGTTTTGCTCATAGGTTTTTGTTGTTGAGTGCTGTCAGTCATGTCTGACTCTTTGGGATGTCCCTTGGGGTTTTCTTGGCAAAGATCCTGGAGTGGTTTGCCATTTCTTTCTCCAATTCATTTTACAGATGAGGAAACTGAGGCAAACAGGGTTAGATGACTGAATCACAGAACTAATAAGTATCTTAAAGGCCATCAAGAGGAACAAGGCTTTCAAAAGAATGTTCTTCTACATCTTTTTCAAGTGGCCATTCATTCTTCACTTAAAAAAAAACAAACCCTGAGCAATTCATTATCTCCTGTAAGAGTCAGTTCTATTATGTTCTTGAATATTTCAACTTGTGAAGAACTTTTAATTATATGAAGCTTAAATCCACTATCACTGCCAGGGCTGAAGAAGTCCTTCCTATTTTGAAGGCAGCTATCATATCTCCCCTACATCTTTTCTAATCAAACATCTCCAGTTCCTACAATGCATGGATGGGATAATATCCAAGTCCCTTACGCACCTAGCTGATTTTTTCTGAACCGTCTTCACCTCACCAATATCTTCCTAAAATGCTGCAGTTGAAACCGAACATAACACTCAAGATTGCCCTTACCAGGACAGAGGGAAGACAGCCTCCCTCATTCCAAATGCTAGATTTCTCAATGACAACTAATGTCCTCCAGGTTTTTGGCTGCCATGATGTGCTCATGATTTCTTCTGAATCTATAGTGCCCCCCCCAAAGTCTTTTCTTTTTAGATCTCATGTTGTTTATCCATCTCTCTCCCTTGTTGAACTTATGAAGTCACTTTTCTGAACCCTAATTCAAAACTCTGATGGCTAGAGAAGTAAAGGGATTTACCCAAGACCATACAGCCAGGGATTCCTGCCATTACTCCTTTCTTGTCCACACTTGGGAATGCGTGCATTCTTCATCCCAAGCATGTTTTGATAGGTAACTCTGAGACATACTCTGGCTGGGTGGGTGAGTCAAGTGTGTAAATGACACCAGCTTGGGGAGGGGAGGGACAAGGAGGAAGTTGAGATGAGACAGACCATCAAGGCATCATTTTCAGAGTGACTGAAATGAACAAAGACTCTGTGTGTGTGTGTGTGTGTGTGTGTGTGAATTTGTTTTGTTTTATTGTAGATGATGATGATGAGGCAGAAAATCCCCAGAAAAATGATACTGCTATTTGTTTCATGTCTATATTTGTTTCTTGTACTTTTTAGTTTACTTTATCTGATGAGCTTTAACTATCTAGGCTAAGAAGATAAACCCCTCACCCAAAGATTTCTTTAATAGTCACATAAAGATGTACACAGCTCACATGCAACGATCCCAGACCTATCATCATAAGAGATTGTGGAAGACATATAAAAGACATGCAGAGATATCATTGCAATCACAAGTAGAAGCATCTGATAAATGGGAAAATGTTAAATGTACATTTGTGAAGATTGTAAGCGTACCCTAAAATGAAAGGAGAAGCAAATCAACTCGTTTCTGTCTTGTTTTCACTAATAACTCCTCTTCATCACCCAAACAGAAACCATAGTTATGATGGAGACAGCCTTTGGACTTAGAAGAATTGTGTTCCCATCTCGCATCCTCTCCTGTGTGGACTCTAGAACCTCAGGCAGATAGGTCCCTTCAGCTCATCAAGCCTCAATTGCATCGTCTAGAGAACGGTCTTCTTGCCTAGATCAGAGAAAATACATTAGATGACCAATGTGTCTGGATCAGGACTCCTGCTCTTTCTACCAACCCCTCAGCAAGCTGCCAAATATTTCTTTAGCATTTACTATGTGTGAAATGCTGCACTAAGATCTGGGGGATATAAAGATATGAGGAAAGGGGAAAACAAATTGCACACACACAACATTCTCCCACAATAGTCCCTGCCCTTAAGAAGCTCGGCAGACAATATGTAAATAATTGGGTAAAAATAAGATATATACACAAAGTAAATGGAAAGTAGTCTGGTAGGGGAAGGTACTAGAACAGTAGCAGCTGGACAGTTTGGGAAGGGCCGCCTGAGAGAGGGAGGATTTGAGCTAAACCCGTATGAGGATCCAGTTCCAGACATTATTCCCATCTAGCCTCCCCCCACCCCCGCCCATTCACCTGTTCAGGAACCATAATCAAATCCTCTGGCCCCAGCACCGGCCCAGCAACCTTTTTGGTTCCCCTTGTGTGTATCTCCCCCCACTGGAATGGAAACCCCTTGAGAGCAAGGGCTGTCCTTGTTTCTGTAGGCATATGCTCTGCAGCAGGCACAGAGCATGGCCCATTACAAGTGCTTAATAAATGCATTTTATTCATTTGCCCACTACCCAGGGAGTGAAGATGAAGTCAGATACTATGAAAGTGAGAAGAAAGGGAAACTGGCCAGCCCCCAACACCCTTGCGTTTCTGACATCACTATGTTTTGATAGTGCATTTGAGGGGGCCATGGCACAGTGGGTGGCAAAGTGAACTTGGAGTCAAGAAAAACGGGTTCAAATCCTGCTTCCAACACCTACTGGCTTTGTGAGCTGGACAAGTCACTTAAATCTTCTTGTTGAATGAATGCATGCATAAATGAATGAATGAGTGAGTAAATGAATGAATGCAATGATATTTTATTGTGTTTGTTATGTGCCAAACACTATGCTAAGTTCTGGGATACAAGTAGAAAAAAAAAACCAAGATAACCCTTTTTCTTGAGGAGGGGGGAAGATAACTGATATAGGTGCTCTGGGTAACTCTAAGAAACTATAAATTATAGTTGGGCTCCAGATTTGCAAGGGTGGAAGGAGTTTCCACACTTTGTATTCCTAACACAGGCCTGAACCAAAACAACTCATGACATAAAAGAGCCTAGCAGAGGAGAGAGAATGCTGAACCCAGAATTAGGAAGCACTGACTTCAGACCCTGCCTCTGTCAGTTGGAAAAGACATTTCCTTGCCTTACAACTCAGTTGTCTCATCTGCAAAATGACGATAATAAAGCACCTACTTTGAATGGTTGATAATGTCTCAAATGAGACCACGTATGTAAAGCATTGCACCATTCTTAAGATACTAAATAGATAGGGCAGCTAGGAGGCACCATAGTGGATAGAGCACCAGACCAGAGTCAGGAAGATTCATAATTCTGAGTTCAAATCTGACTTCGACACTTGTTAGCTGCATAACTCTAGACAAGTCACTTAACCTTGCTCATCTCAATTTCCTCATCTGTAAAACGAGCTGGAGAAAGAAATGGCAAACCACTGTAGTATCTTTGCCAAGAAAATCCCAAATGGGGTCATGAAGAATTTGACACAACTGAAAACAACTCACTAGCAGTATATATGTATTTTTTAATAATTTCAAAATGGTTGTTATTGAAATGGTAGTTGATTTAATCAATAGAGAATTTGGCATGGAATTCAATACTATTTATTTATGTTTGAGATGTTGCTATTTTGCTGCTGCTGATAATGGTGGTGTGGCAGTGGATAATGATTCTTTTTGGATATCAGATGTCATTATCATGGAAACTATAAAATGCATCATAAAAATAACATTATCTCAGTCCTCTAGGAGTGTACAATCTAATAAGAGAGATGAGGGATGTCCACAAATCAGTATAAAACGAGATACAAAGTGGTAATAGTATTAAGAGATGCAATCAGATATGTTACCATGAGACAGACAGGAGGGAGGGTGACTTTTTAGTTGCGGAAGCAGGAAAAGTTTGATAATGCCTAAGGACATATGTGGTCACAAGTACTAATGGAGCTGAAAAAACCTTAGAAATCATCTATTCCAATCCTGTCATTGTGACAAATGAGGAAAAGACCATGCACTCTGGAAATTATCAACTTCAAAGCTTAATATAAATTTTATTTTTAATTAGCAAACATTTTTTCTCCCTATTCTCAATGCCTGGGGGAGAAAAGGAAAGGAAAGGAAAGGAAAGGAAAGGAAAGAAAAGGAAAGGAAAGGAAAGGAAAGGAAAGGAAAGGAAAGGAAAGGAAAGGAAAGGAAAGGAAAGGAAAGGAAAGGAAAGGAAAGGAAAGGAAAGGAAAGGAAAGGAAAGGAAAGGAAAGGAAAGGAAAGGAAAGGAAAGGAAAGGAAAGGAAAGGAAAGGAAAGGAAAGGAAAGGAAAGGAAAGGAAAGGAAAGGAAAGGAAAGGAAAGGAAAGGAAAGGAAAGGAAAGGAAAGGAAAGGAAAGGAAATCCTTGTACCAAATAAGCATAGTTAAACAAAATAAATTCTGCCGTTGGTCATAGTATTAAGTAGGGAGTGAAGGACAGTGATAGGTGAATAGTGACATGGAGAATTTGAGCCTGGCTGGACAGAAAAACTTGGTACCATCAAGAGAAATAGGGAATTTGAGATGGGGTCAGCTTTCAAGAGGAAGGTAAAGACTTCTGTTTTGCACCTCTTGAGTTTGTGGTACCATCCGGGCTTATAGTGGGCAAATAGATGTGGGCCTGATGGGCCATGGAAAACTTAGAAGTAGATATAGGAATCTATGAGTTATCTGTGTAGGGATGATATTTCATCACAGGGAAGCTGAGAACACCATTGGGAGAGGGGGTTGAGAGGAAAGAAAAGAAGACATAGGACATAGTCTTAGGGGACATTCGAACTTCTGGAATGGGAGTAGGAAAATTTACCATCAAAGAAGCCAAAGAAGAATTTAGAGGATAGATTGGCAAAGAACCAGGAGACAAATATAACAGAGAAACCAAGAGAGTAGACAACTTGCCAGAAAGATAGAGATGACTGATGGAAGAAGTAGTGAGAACTGAGAAAAGACCATTGAGTTTGTCACTTAGATCCTCTGTGACGTTGGAAGAGACCAGTTTGAGTAGAATCATGTGGACAGAAATCTGCTTGCACAGGATGGTAGGCTCTTCTATATCATGGGTTGTTTTGGTTCAGACCTGTGTTGAGAATACAAAGTGTGGAAACTCCTTCCACCCTTGCAAATCTGGAGCCCAACTAAACAAAGGGTGTCTATTCTTTAGAAAAAGTGAAAGGGAGGGGAGATATAAGATAGCAGCATCAGGGGTCAACATTATAAGAAGAGTGTTCTTGATTTTATTTGCTTATTTATTTTTAGGAGAGTAGAGACCTGAACACACTTTATTTCTTTTGTTTTGTTTTGTTTGTTTTGTTTTGTTTATTTGATTTGATAGAAAGTAAGGAGCTAATTAGAGGGGGAGAAAATAGAAATTAGAAAGATGTGGAACAAATATTTGCCCCTAAAATTGTTCATAACACTTTGACTAGATCATTCCTTTACACATAATTTGTTCTCCATAATTATGGAAATTTGTGCTCCTGTCTTTTTCCCTCTTCAGTAATTACCACCCCACTCCCACCCCACCCCCCAACTCTCTAGCTTGTTGAGAACAGGGTCTGATCCATATTTTTTCCTGTATCCTTAGTGTCTGGCCCAATGCCTAGCAGAGCAGAAATATTTAATATGTTTTTGTTGGTTGAACAAGTCAATGGAATTAGTAATGGCATGAAGTCACAGAGAAAACAGGAGAGTATGGAATCAAGAAAACAAAGACATAACTTTGCCTTGGCAAAGAAGCAGAAGACTTCATCCATTGAGAATGGAAGGAAGACAGACAAGATGGGTAAAGTCAGAAATATTTGGGGGTATAGAGGCAGGAATTTGAGGGAGTATGCATTTTTAATGAAATATGAGGTAAAATTATTTACTACAAGGCAGGGAGTGGGCCAGAAGTTAGGCAACTAAGAAAAGAGGAGAAGTTACAGATTATTAATATGTTTAATAATAGTAACAACAACATGCATTTACATTGAGTTTTAAGGTTTGCAAAGCGCAGAACTGAAGCTCTGGGGAATTCAATTAGAATAATAACAGCAAGGAATTCAGTTAGAGATGGCTAAGTATCATGATGCAATGGCAAAATGAAAACATGTTCATATCATACATATAATATTAATTCTTATTAGTCAAAGAAGTGTTATATTATTTAACATGCTTCTGTTAAGTAACTACCATATACCAGACACAGTGCTATACTCTAAAAATGCAAAGATTTTTTTTTAAATTGGTTCCTGCCCTCAGAGAGCTTACATTCTACCACGGTAAAATAACATAGAGATAATTCGATACAAAATATATTCAATGTCATTTAACAAGTGGAGGGATTACAAAAAGTCTCATGGAGGAAGTGGCACTTGAGCTTATCCTTGAATAGAGTTAGAGATTTCAAGAAGCAGAGCTTTTAAAAAAAAAAAAGGCAGGCAGGTAAGGGCACAGCCTGTGCAAAAGTACATAAGTGGTAGATATAATCCTGCACAAAGAAAATACTAACTAGACCAATTTGGTTTAAATACAGAAATATTTGGTTGAAATATAGGGAGAAAAATGTGAGAAGATTATGAAATTCTACCTTCTTTCAAAGGCATTCTTTTTTTTAATTGTGTGTATTTTGGTTTCAATTTAATTCAACAACCATTAAGCACTTAATATGCACAAAGGCTTGTGCTAGTTACTAAGGTAGACACGGGGATGGATAAAACGTCTAGTGGGGGCAATAAAACACCAAATGTATATAAAAATGCTATTAAAAATCAAAAGTGCAAAGGCATAGCAATAATGTAAACAATGCCCTCTGCAAGGCTAATACAGAAAAGCAAAGAGGAAAGTAAGTTCACTCCCCAAAAATCTAATCAGGGAAAGCTTCACTTGTGCATCATTTGAGCTGAGCCTTGAAGGATAAGCAGCATTGCTAGAGATGGTAGAGATGGGGGAGGAGAGGAAGGAGGACATTGATTCCACATATAGGACACAAGATGGACAAAGGCAGAGTTTCAGGAAAACTTGCAACATAGAGGGAAGTATGATGAGACTAAGCCACCAAGGTAAGGTCAGTCCAGACTTTGGAAAGCCTTGAATGTCAGGCTAAGGATTTTGGACACCATTGAAAGATTTTGAGCAAAAGAGTGCCATAAGCTGATATTTATTTAGGGAGAATTATCTTAGCAGTAACATGAAGCATGGATTGGAGGGACCCAAGATCAGAGGCCAGGAGATCAGTTAAAAAGATATAGCATTAGTCCAGATGAGACTTTGGCATTCAAAGCTTTCATAACCTACACTCCACCCATTCTCCAACACACACACAGCTTCCCAGTCTTCCTTATCCTTACATTCCCCACACACACATTCTCTTCCATTCAGTGACGTTGGCCTCTTGGCTGTTCCATGAACAAGACATTGGCCTCTTGTTCCACGAACAACACACTCCCATCTCTCAGTTCTGGACGTGTGTACAGGCTGTCTCTCACACCTAGAACATTCCCCCTCTCATCTCCACCTCCAGGCTTCCTCCAAGCCCCACCTTCTACACTAAGCTTTTCCTGATCTCTTCAGATCCAGTTCCTTCCTGTTGTTGTTTATTTCCTATTTATCCTATCTAAAGCATGTTCCTACATAACTGTCTGCATGATGTCTCTCCCATTAGATTGTAAGCTCCTTGAGTGCAGGACCTGTCTTTTGCCTTTCTTTGTAACCCGAGCCACTAGCTTAGTGCCTGGCATATTTTCGACTGAGTGAGTAATGAGCGTTTGGACAAGGTTGTGGTAACAGGGACAGAAACAATAGGATGAAGGCCAAAGACTGGGAACTGATTGAGAAATGGGAGATGAGGGAGAGAAGAACCAAAGCTTTCACCAAAGTTGTGGCTCTAGGTGCCATGGCAAATGATGGCACCAATCATAGAAAGTGCCCCTGTACATTGCAACCCAGCCCATTCCAAATGTACAAGTTCTGATAAAGAGTTTATCGTGTATAGAGTCATTCTTTGGGAAATGAAATTAAATAAAATTCATTAACTGCCTTTAATCCAATTCAACTCAACAAATATGTAATAAATCAGTCAAGATCTAGACTGGGTACTGAGGGTACAAAGAAAAGAAAAAAAGAAAACAATTCTTATCTTTAAGGAGCTTACCTACTGTTAAAGAAATTTAAAAACTAAAGGAGTGAAAGCTAGCATTTACATCATCTTTAAAGTATGCAAAGATTTTATATTATCATCATTATCATCATCATTATCTCATTTAACCTTCACAATAAGCCTGTGAGGTAGCTGCAATGATCATCCTCATTTTAAAGATGAGAAGACTGAGGCCAAGAGAGGTTAAGATACTTTTCCTAGGGTCACACAGCTAGCCTGAGGTGGAATGTGAATTCAGGTTTTGCCAGCTATTCCAAGTCTAGTGCTTTTTCCTCTCTGCCACGTGGTTTCAGACCTGTCTGTATCTAATTAGAAGGCAAAGAGCTCAAAACACAGGTCCAAGCAATGTGTTTAGGAAGCATTCTGGGAGAGAGAGGCCTCTTCTGTTTGAGGGAATCTGGGAGTAGGTCGAACCTGAGTTTGACCTTGAAGGAAGGGAAGGATCAGAATGACAGTTTGACTTCATCCACAACTTGTCAACTGGCAGAAAGTTAAAATAAGAAAAAAAGAAAAAAAAGTGAGAGAACAAGGGGTGATCTTACTCTGCACTAACTGCTGTATCTTCTTCACACTGGGTCCCAGGCTTCCATCTGCATGCCTCTGCATCACAGCAAGGATTTGTGCATTCCTTAGACAAACACAGAAATAGAAAAACAGAAATTGGATTATTTCTCTATTGCCTCATTAGGGGCAACTTATTTCTTCTTTTAAACATCTAGGGTCATTGGCTTAGAAACTGAGAGCTGAAAAGGACCTTGGGGGTCATCTAGGCCAATATTGTCATTTGACAGAGAGGGAAACTGAGACTCAGGAAAATTAAGCAATTTGCACAACATAGTTAAGTATCAAATGAAATTCGAATTTGGGTCCTGGGAACCTTTGTTCACACTTCACTAGAAAAAAAAATGAGGCTACTATTCAGAAGTCCTCTTTCCACATTGCTCATGCATCTCCTTGACTATGTCCTCCTTTACAACTATGACCCTTCTTAGCTTTCCAGTCTTCTTCCAATTTATTCACATCCATGGATCCCATGACAAAGGACTTCTCACTATTCCTTCTACAGGATGATCCATTTTCCTACCTTTTGCCTTTGATTTGACTATTCCTTATGCCAGGAATGTTCTCCTTCCTCATCTCTGCCTGCTGGATTCTTGGGCTTCCTTCAAAATTCATCTCAAATAAGATGTGGGAAGCCTTTCCCAGTCCCTCCCCTCTCCTCCCTGCTTCTTTCTCTCTTAATCTCTTTCCTTCCCTTCCGCTTACTTCTCTTGTCCCTCCTCTCTCCTTCCTTCCCCTCTCCTCTTCTCCTTTATCTTCTTTCCCTCATTTCTTCTTCCCTCTTCTCCCCTCTCCCCACCTACACTACCCTCTGAGATCAGCTTCCATTTCTACCATTACATAGGCTATTTGGACATAGTTACATGCATGTTTTCTCTCTCTTTAGAATGTAAGCTCGTTGATGGCAAGAACACTGTTTTTGCCTTTCTTTGTATTCCCAGGTCTATATTATTAAAATGAAATTCATTATCATCATCTTTAACAGCACACTTATTAAACCCCAAGTTAGATGTAAGAAAAATGGGACAGAAAAAATGGAAGATACCTTGGGTGTCCCACAGTCGCAGTCTTCACCTACTTCCTTGAGTTTATTCCCACAGATTGGATCACTTATTATGTCTTCTGGGGCGGGTGCTTGGAGAAGACACATTGGTTTTTGAGATAAGAGATATTTTTGAAAATACTTAAGGGCGGTTTCACTGAAGTCCTTTGGGAATTTAGAGCTGCAGATAAAGGAGATAAAAAAAAGCTGGATGGGGCTCTAGGGTGTGTTTCACTTGGCCTTTGCTTGTAAGAGGTCAGCCATGATTAGCCACGGACAAGGGAGGACCAGGAACACTGCACTTAGTGGGCAAAGAGCTCCTCATGGGCATAAAGGGACCAAATTCCCCTTAGGATTTGAATCTGTCCGAACTAGTCAAGGTGGTAGCAGTAACAGTTCAAATAAAAGATCATCGTGATCACCAGTTTCCAGCTGGAAGAGATTTCATAAGCCATCTGGTCCAACGCTCTTACTTTATAGATAAAGAAATTTAGGTCCCAGGAAGTTAATTGATTTGGTCAAGGTCACATAGCTAGTAAGGGCCAGAAGGAGGATTTGAACTCAAGTCTGGAATTCAGAACAGTCTTCTCTCCCCATTGCTGGGACCTGAGATTTCTTAGGTGTTCATTTGCATGCCATCATCATAGATCTCAACCCCTCCATAGAAAACCTTCTAGAATCCAGGGACATCTCACAAGCATGATAAGAAATTGGAGTAGGATTTGGGAGATTACAAAGTAGTAACAGTGACAGCTATTATATTCATCCAGTGCATAACATTCCATTTACTGCCTCCTTGATTTTGTATAGACTGCCCCACAGGCATGGGATGAACTTCTTCCAACTTTTAGAATCCTTAGCTTCCATCAAGACTCAACTCAAGATGTAGCTTCTGTAAAATGTCTCTTCTGCCCCAACTAACCCCAAATTCCTATTATCCACATCCTCCCACCTTAATGTAACTTTGCATATTTTTTATATATTATATGAGAGGCAGCATGGGATAATGGCTATAGAATTTGCTTCAGAGTCCATAAGACCTGGGTTCAACTCTTAAAACAAACAGATTGTGTGAATATGATTGAGTCATGATCTTTCAGGATTCCAGATAATCCTCTAACAATGTAAGTTGGAGGGTAGGTGCCAATCTGGATCAGTGGACGGAGTTTCTTGGGAGTTCCATAAAGCAATGAAATCATAAGTCTAAAAGAAAATTAAAATACATGGAGAACAAACTGGATCTCTGCATACATCTGTAGACTAAGAAGCGTTATTCGATTATTTCGTCATGCTGCCCCACTCTCGCCCCAAAAGAATTAAGTTATTTGAGGACAAGGACAATTTTATTTTTGTGTTCTTATCTTCAGAGTGTAGCACGGTGCCTATTACGTAGGAAGCACTTAAGAAATGGGGTTTTTTTGAGTGAATTGATGAATGGATAGGATGAATGAATAAATGAATAAATGAATGATCCCTGAATCCTAGACTTAGAGCCTTAGGGAGCCCAAAGATTATCTAAGGTATCATCTAAACCCTGCTTTGTAGAGAAAACTGGGACCCAGAGAGGTTAACGATCTGCCCCAAATTGTGGGTCTAGCAGGTGACCGAGATGGGACGAAAGACATTCCTTTTGTCTCCTAGCCTCATTCTATTCGGCTATGTCATTGGCACACATGTACATGCACAGAAACACACACACACACACACACACATACACACACACACACACACACACACATACACACACACACATACACACACACACACATACACACACACACACACACACACACACACACACACACACACACACACACACCACACTACCACCACCAACAACAACACCTCCCTTTGCTGTTTTTTTTCCTCCCCTTTGTCAGGCACTGAGAGTCACTCACCTCAGGTACTCATTCATCACACAGCTCCCAGAGGGGCATTTGGTTTTATAAGACACATCAGGCATTCCAAGGGCATGACCCAACTCATGAGACATCAGTCCTACTAGTGACACTGCATTTTTCCTCCAAGCCTAGAAAAAAGGAGAGAACTATTGTTTCTTAATTGCCCAAGTCCACCCAGGTAGTAGGAAGAACACTCTCCACCCTACCAGGCTGTCCCTATCCAAGTCAATTAAATAATTATTGAGTACCTGTTAAGCATCAGATTGCAAGAGAGAAATGGAGCTAAGTTAGAGGCTCTGCCATGAAGTTTGGCAGTACCTGGGCATAGGAGCTCACTACTCTGCTTTTAAATTAGCCCAAACTCAAGTGATCCCTCCTCTTCACTGTCATCCAAAGAGGCTCAGGGGACTAAATCACAGAGAACCGAGATGCCAACTTTCTGCCCCAGCCTGACTGCGTTTGTTTTTACCGTTGCTGTTGAACCTAGCTAGAGTCCTGCAGAACAGTGAAGTAATTGCAGGAAATACTTTGAGAGACAATGTGGTGCTGTGGCGGTGAACTTAAAATCAGTTACACCTGAGTTCAAATCCTGCTGCAGGCATTTGATAGCTATGGATCAAGGGCAAGTGACTTAACTGCTTAGAGACTCAGTTTCCTCCTCTGTAAAATGGGGTTCACAATATTTGATCTATTTACTTTACAAAGTTACTGTGACTTGATCACTTTGCAAATCTTAAAGTGGTCTAAAAGTGTGGCTTGTTTTTTAATCTAATAATTGAACTTCCTATCCTAAAGAGAATGCTGCTTCCTTTAGAAAGATTTCCATAATCCCCCTGGTTGGTAACAACTCCTCTTAACTCCCTCTCCAGGAGGTTGTTTGGTTTTCTAACTTTCTAAACTCTTATTATGCATGACTATGTTTTATCATGCAGATATTTATCCAAAGTTGAAGCTAGGAAATCTCTTAAGGGCTTAGAATATGCCTTATTCAAAGTGATATTTCCAGGGGCAGCTAGGTGGTACAGTGGATAGAGCACTGGCCCTGGATTCAGGAGGACCTGAGTTCAAATCCGGCCTCAGACACATAACACTTACTAGCTGTATGACCCTGGGCAGTCACTTAACCCCATTAAGTCTAATCAAAAAAAAAAAGAAGGAAAAAAAGTGATATTTCCTATAGTACCCATTTCAGAGTTCTTTATGCAGTAGCTTCTCATTAAATGCATACAGCATTGCATAATTGCAAGTGAGGTGACTAAGAAATAGTAGGGTTAGGATCTTCTCTTTTGCCTAATCCATTCCTGACTTTTCTACTCCCTATCCTTCCAGTCACTCATACATCAAACTGCTCCAAACCTTGTACCTAGGTTAAGGTCTATTTCCTCCTTCTCTCTTTCCCTTTTTCCTCCCTCCCTCCCTCTCTCCCTCACTCCCTCCCTTTGTTCCTCTCTCCCTCACTCCCTCCCTTTGTTCTTCCCTCCCTTCCTCCCTCCCTCCCTTCCTTCCTTCCTTCCTTCCTTCCTTCCTTCCTTCCTTCCTTCCTTCCTTCCTTCCTTCCTTCCTTCTACAAATATTGACAAAGTACCTACTTTTTGCAGACATTGCTCTGATAAGGAGCACAATAAACAACCACTGGGATTCCCACCATGTACAAACCTCGATCACTGCAACAGAATGTGAACTGCACATGGAGTTTGAGGCTGAAAACCCCACCACTTTTTTGTTGAAGGCAATTCCACTGTGTAAAAAAGAGACAGATGTGCACATGATCACCCTTGACTCTAAGACTATTTACTTATTTCAAACTTCTCTGAGCAGAAGAACACAGATTCTAGGATGGCAAGGCATGGAGGAAATATGGAGGTCACTTCATCCAGTTATTTTCTAGAGGGAAACTGAGGCTGAGACAGCATAAGTGTTGACTTTACGGGGTGTGTGTGTGTGTGTGTGTCTGTGTGTGTGTGTGTGTGTGAGTGTATATATTTATATGTATACACACACATATATACACACTATATATGTGTGTGTATATATGTGTGTGTATACATATAAATATATACACACATATATACACACTATATAATGGTGTTTGTGTTATATACACACAATATACATATATACATATACACATACGTATATAATATTTGTACATATAAATATATACACATATATACATATATGTGTGTATATATGTATACATATATATACACACACATACATACACACACAGAGAAGGGAAGAAAGGAAACAAAGAAGGGAGGGAAGGGAGAAAGAGAAAGGAAGAAAGAGAGGGAGAAAATAAGGAAAGAAAGGAAGGACAGAGAAAGGAAACAAGAAAAGACATATAGAGATAGATGTAGACGTGTGTGTATGTGTGTGTTTCACCAAAAATGTCTTTATTTCTGGTAACACTGCTTTACCAAGTGCTTTCTACACCCAACAGCCAAGTGAAGTAAGCAGTACAGCCAGAATTAGTTCTATTTTACAGATGAGAAAACTGAGATTTGTAGAAGCTAAATGACTTGTACAAAGCCCATATGGTTAATAAAAGAGCCCAGATCTTTAGTGTCTCCTATTCTTCCTCCTGTACAGTACTGTCCATAACAGCATGTTGTACTTATATGTGGCATGGTGAATAGAACACTGGGCCTGGAGTCAGGAAGACCTGAGTTTAAATTGGACCTCAAAAATCTACTAGTTCTGTGATTTTGGTCAAGTGACTTAAACCCCTGTTTGTCTCAGTTTTCCCACCTACAAAATGGAGATAATAATAGCATCTACCTGCCAGGGTTGTTGTGAGGATCAAGTGAGATAATGGTTGTAAAGAACTTGGCCCCAGTGCCTGGCACATAGTAGGTGCTACAAACATGTTAGCTGATGGTGATGATGAGGATGAGGATGAGGATGATGATAAGCTGAGGGAGGCCCAGAAAATTTAAGTGACTCATTCATTATCACAAAAGTAGGTAAGAGTGGAAGTCAAGTTCCATGATTCTACATTTATTTTTCTTTCTCCCATACCTCCTGGTCCTCCATAGGGTAATTGATAAGGCAATGGGGTGTAATGGAAGGGCACTGCTTTGGAATTATGGGACCGGACTTGGATTCAAATCTTACCTCTGTTGATTATTTCCAACATGAATTTGAGCAAGTCACTGAACCTTTCCTTATCTAGATTTCATAATCCTGTGGCATCTCAAAAGTTATAGCCATATTTAGGACCCTCCTGCCCTCTGAACCCAAGCCCCAAGAATCATGGTAGCCTCAGAAGCCTAGTCCCCTGGAGTCACTATGATGTTCATGATAGAGGCCTCCTGGGATTCCACACCTGAAGAAGGTAATATCCCCTTCCCATTCATACTGCAAAGTCTTCTAAACCCAAAGAGATGAAGATCATTAAATGTCAGAATAAGAGGCATTGTGAAGGATTGAGAGAAGTCCTGTGGGGGTGGGGCTTGCCATCTCTGAGCAGCCCTGACGCAATCAGCGCTCACCTGAGCAGCTGAGCATGGTCATGTTTCCTTCCCTTCCATCTGCGGTGCCAGTCCAAGAATTTGTTGAAGTTACTGTGTGCGTTTGATGCCACATCAATCTTATTGGTATCTGACCAGATCTCCATGCCCACCAAGGCCACGTGAACATCCAAGGTATTATAGATCTGTGTAAAGAGTGAAGGCTTTTAGGCCTGAGAAGTGGGGGGACTCTCTTATTTCCACAGATCTGGGAATTCACAAGCAGCCTGTCCCATGAAAACAAGCCTCAGGAAAAGTGGAAAAAAGTTGCCTTCAGCCTGGATGGAGGTAGCAGACCTTTTGAAAGGCTCATGTTCTTGAGTTCAAATCTGGCCTCAGACACTTACTAGCAGTGTGACTGTGGGAAGGTCACTTCACCCTGTTTGCCTCAGTTTCCTCATCTATAAAATGAGCTGGAGAAGGAAATGTAAACTACTCTAGTATCTGCTGAGAATTCTCATTCCACATGTCTCTAAGTGGACGAAGATGCTGAAATAATTGAATTGAGCTACTGGATTCTTATCATTTTAAATAAGTTTCTGGCAAATCCCAGTCATTTCTCTCTGTTTCTGTCTCTCTCTTTGCTTCCCTCTTTCTCCCCAGCCCTCACCCATGGTCTTAGTTTTTTCTTTGTTTGTTTTCTGTTCCTTATACCAGGCACTCTATCTTCTCTATCCAAGTCTTTGCACTGGCTGGCCCACATGCCTGAAAGTGCACTCCCTGTTTACCTCCATGATACAGCTCACGTACCATCTTCTTCTACATGCAGCTTTCTGTGATCCCACCCCCACCCCACTGCTTGTGCCCCTTCTCCCAAGGCAATATGGTATTTGACTTGCTTGGTTATATTTTCATTTATTAACTACAATTATGAAGTAAATTTGATCTAGCTACTTATTTTATTTCCCATTGGGATGAACTTTTTCTTTTGTATCCCAGAACCCAGCATAGCTATGGCACACAGAAGGTATTTAATAAATAATTGTGTATTAATTGAGTAAAACTACCTAGAAAGCCCAGTACCGGGTGTTGGGGTTCCAAAGACAAAAAGGGAATAAAAAAAAAAAAACAGACCTTGCTTCCAAGAGCCAACCTTCTCCTGGGGGTGGGGTAAAGGGTGAGATACTTATAAACATTAGTACATGTAAAGTCATTTGAGGAAGCAGAAAATGCTTTGGGGGTGATGCCCTCTGGACAAGTGGCTGGCCTCACAAGGCTGCTGTTGTGTGCATCAGGTAAGAGAAGGAATCTACAGTGTTTAGCAAAACATAAAATGTCATGTAGATAATGTCAATTATTAGTGACTATACATATATTTAATACATTATTAATAATTGCAGTGAATAATGAAATTGGTGAGTAGGTAATGCTCTCAGTCGTGAGGTATATGGGTCATGTGTGGGGATGCTCACACCATCGAGATCATTGAGAGTAAAGATTGTTTTGTCATTTGGATGAAGAAAGCCAGGTGGTGCAGTAGATAGAGCACTGGGTCTGGAGTCAGGAAGATCAGGGTTCAAATTTGGCTTCAGAAACTAACTATCTGTGTCATTCTGGGCCAGTCACTTAATCTCTGTTTGCCTCAATTTTCTTACATAGTGATAGCAAAAGTACTGTCCTCTCAGGCTGATTTTAAGGATCAAATGAGATAATATTTGCAAAGCATTTACTACAGTGCCTGGCACATAGTAGGTGCTTAATAAATCATCATTTGCTCCCTTCCTTCTTTACATGTGCATTCCCATAGTTTATCACACTGCCAGACACATTACAGGTGCTTATTAAAGGCTTGTTGATATATTAAGTGATGGAGCCATTGAAATATTTGGGCAAAATTGAATGGTGTCTTTGGCACATTCTTCCAAGCACAGTTGTTTCAAAATGTCCTGGATGGGTAATAGGAGACTGAGACAGATTCCTTGACTCTATCAAGTTTTTCTTGTTGGGTTCTCCCTCCTTGGTCAGATATTCATCAGAAAATCCCAGAATCCAATATGAACACAACTTACCCGAGGGAGAGGAAACTCACCACATTCAGGAGGCTGACCACATTGAAGAGAAAATTTCTTATTGAGGTCTGATTTCCTTTGTGCATATTGTACTAAAAATAGAAGAGGGAAAATCCTAATTAACACAACAATGAAAGGGAGAACACCAAAGGGGAGGGAGGGGTGCAATGGACTAGGTCTTCCTACTGTCTCCCAAGTAATGTCTACTTAGGATTCAAGGCTTTTCACAGTCTGCCTTCACCTTATACATGGGATCATAGCTTTCTATTGTTCACTGCTTTCACTTATGTCTCCCTCTGCATGACCCCATTTGGGGTTTTCTTGGCAGAGATACTGGAGTGGTTTGCAATTTCCTTCTCCAGCTCATTTTACAGATGAGGAAACTGAGGCAAACAGGGTGAAGTGACTTTCCTAGAGTCACACAGCCAGTAAGTGTCTGAGGCTGGATTTGAACTCAGCAAGTTGAGTCCTCCTGACTCCAGGCCGAGCACTTTATCCATGGTGAGACCCAGCTGCCCCTGGATCATAGTTTATAGGACCATAGATTTAGAGCTGGAAGGCACAGAGGTTTTATTAACTCCCAACTCCCCCCTACCCCTAGATTCCCCACCTTCCTCCTTTTATAAATGATTAAATTAGAGAGGTTAAGTTGGCTTGGCCAGAATCACACAGCTATCAGGTGTCTGAAGGGCAGCTAGGAGGCATAGTCGATGGAGCATTGGGCCTCGAGTCAGAAAGGCTCATCTTCTTGAGTTCAAATCTGGCCTCATATACTTACTAGCAGTGTGACTGTGGGAAGGTCACTTCATCCTGTTTGCCTCAGTTTCCTCATCTATAAAATGAGTTGGAGAAGGAAACGTAAACCACTCTAGTATCTGCCGAGAAAAACACAGACATGACTGAAATAACTTGCTGACACTAACTCCAATCTCTGTCTACACTGTATCCTAGTCTTAGGTCATATTATTCTAGCCCTCACACTCTACTGTATGTTCCAGTCAAACTGAACTACTCTCTGTTTTGGGACAAATTTCGTGCTATCTCATCTCTATGCCTCTACTGAGCTGCAGAATGAGTTTCCATTAGCTAAAATGTGAACTCTATGAAGGCAGGAACCATGAGTTGGCTAAACTTTATACTCCTCCCCCTCTTTGCCCTAGCACAGCATTCTGCCCACAGTAAGTGCTTTACAATAAATTGTGGTTGAATTTTTGAGTATATTGGACTATTGATCCTATGAAATTCACTTGTATTTCCAAGTCATCACAATTTTCATCTACCCAATAGGGGTTAGAATAATGTAAATGTCTCTTGCAGTTCAACTTCTCTGTATAGGGATATAGTTTTATGATAAAAAAAAAGTATTTTTGAAAGAGAAAATATATTTTCATATATTTGAAAACTCAGAGGTCAAGGGATTATATTTGATTCTTCTAAGTATATGAAAATTCATGAATTAATTAGCCCATATTTCCCACTCCCATGTTCCCCATTATAGAGATTGATTTCTGTAGTTCTCGTGAGGACTAAAAAGATTTAAATCCTGACACTTTTACTATTGGAAAGCTGAAATTTCAAGAAACTCTTGATTTTGTATTTGCAAAGGAGAGACCAGACAAATTCTTTTCAAAACAGTAATAGCTCAAATAATGTGCCACTAGTTGTCAACTGAGGATTGAAACATCACAGAATCATGGAATCTCTGTTAGAAGGGGCTTTGGAGCCATTGAGCCCAAGACATATCTGAAAAAAAAAATCCTCTTAGAAGACACTTGCCAAGGGATCATCCAGGCTGGAAGACCTTCCATAAAGGTCATTACCTTCATGCCTTTAGGCAGCTCATTCCACTCAGCTCTAATTGTTTAGAGCTGGTTTGTGAGATCTAGCCTAAATTGGTCCCTTTCCATCCACCTCTGCTCCTGGTTCTGCAACTCTGGGGCCGGCTGAGCCAGATTAATCGAATGCCTCTCTTGTATAACAGTGTTCGTGCCTCCTCTGTCATCTTCTCCAGGATAATCACCCCCAGCTCTTTCAATTGTTTCTCACATAGAAGGAACTCCAGGCCCTTCCCCATCCTCCTCACTCTGCAGAAGCTGCTCAGTTTATTAATGTCCTTGCTGGACTTGAGAGTGAGAATGCAACCCAGCAGTCAGATGTGTTCTGAGCAGGACAGAGTATCACTGTACTATAACTTCCTGGGAATATAATATTGTAATGTCCTGTAAAGGATAAAGAACTGACTTTGTATACAGAAAGACCTCTGCTCAAGTTTCAACTCTGACATATACATCTGTGGGCCCCTGGGTGAGGCACTTGACCTACTAAAGCTTAGGGAGCTCTCAAACTACAAAGATTAGAGTGATTAGATTTACCTGCATTGGGAAATGGAGTCTCCTCATCTGGGAGTTCTCTTTACCAATGAAATCACAATCTTTACCTCAATAATCTTTGTATTCTGCTCCATTATTCCTCTTATAAAGATTGAAACATTAGCCCTTCTCATCACTATATACCACACTGTTGATTCTTAATGAGGATGCTGGTCAAAGTTGGCTAAGAAAAATTAATATCTTTATACTTACAAAAGCTTTATCCAGGACCAAGAAAAGGTTGATATATTTTGGAGATGTAAGAAAATTCTGTTGGTATTAAGAAAAAACAAATTGAAAGAAAGACTTAAAATATGAATTATTGATCTGATGAATATCAATATTGGTATTAAATGGGAAAGGACTCAGAAACTGAGAAATGAGTTAGGGCAAAACAGCCCTCAGAAGTCATTCAAACAGCCAGCATTTCATAGAATTACCATCTGGATTGTTAAAAAAAAAAAAAAAAAACAATACTGGAGAGGCCATTGTGCAGAGAGGGTGAAGGACATATGGATGTATCATTATGAAAGATGAGCTCACATTTGGGTCAGTGATTTCTCTAGGATTCCGGGTGAGGATGTGCTTCTGGTCTGAGCTCTTTACTCCACAGGTCTGGTTTGTGGGGTCCAGAGCCACATATTTCAGGATGGTGTGTGCCTCATGATCTCCACCTTTCAGAGGCTCTATTAGATACCTTTGATTACGGTGCTTGAAGAAGCCCCTGGGAGATAAGAAAGGAAAGAATGCAAGGCTGGCTTCTTTACCTTTTTCAAATTTTATTAATTTATTTTGATTTATCAACAATCACTTCCATATGCTTTTGAGTTTAAAATTTTTCTCCCCCTTCCTCCCAAAGACAGCACACAATCTGATATAGGCTATACTTTTAAATTCCTATTAAACATATTTTCACATTACTGGTGTTGTAAGTAAAAATTAAAACCAATAGGAGGAACCATCAGAAAGAGGAAACAAAACTCAACAGAAGAGAAAAAAAATAGCAATTCCACTTTCATAGTTCTTTCTCTGGATGTGGATAGCATTTTCCATCACGAGGTCTCTGGAGATGTCTTAGATCCTTGTATTGCTGAGAAGAGTTAAGTTTATCAATATTAGTCATCGCACAACGTGGCTGTTATTGTGTAAAACAGTCTCTTGGTTCTGTTCACTTCACTCAGCATCAGCCCATACAAATCTTTCCAGGTTTTTCTAAAGTCACCTTTTTCATCATCTCTTATAGCACAATAGTATTCCTTTACATTCATACACCACAACTTGCTCAGCCATTCCCCAGTTGATGGGCATCCTCTCAATTTCTAATTCTTTACTGCCACAAAAAGAGCTGCTATGAATATTTTTGTACATGTGGGTCCTTTTGACATTTGTATGATCTCTTTGGAATATAGCCCTAGAAGTACTATTGTTGGGTCAAAGGGTATAAGGCTGGCTTCTTTAACAGAGCTGGAAGCAGCAAGCCAAGAATCCAAAGTGAGGCATCATATCATGTGCCAGGTGCAAATAGGACAGAGGGCTCCCTCAGGTCAAGTTTTAAAAATGAATTCATTAGAGGAGAAGAAGGAGGAGAAAAGGGAGGAAGACAGGAGGGAGAAAGGAGGAGGGAGCTAGGGAGGAAGGAGGAGGAGGAGGATGGTAGAGAATTCACAGCCTGGGATACAAGGCTTCAGTAGGGGATAGACACTATGCCCTTTTCTAGGAGGCTCCTGTTGCAATAGTATTGAGTCGGGATAGTTTGTTAGGTTTTGTGGTTGGTCATAATGGGACGAAGCCAACAGATAGGAGGGAGCTGTCCATTCTGTAAAATTGCTTCCTATTTTAGCAAATGATTCCTGTTAACTAGGCTTAGTTGTTTCTACTGATTGAAGGAATACTTGCTTATTATCCACTTTTCTCTCTAAATTCTGAGGTCCTAGGACAAAACCCAGGTTGTCCAACTCAGGTACTAGCCAGGGTCTCTAAGTGGGTGTTAATAAATCTCATTAATTAGGGTCCTGTCTATGGAAAACTGAAAGTTATATTAATAAATGATATATACTAAATAAAATATATCATATGCCCACATATAATGATATTCATATATGGCATACAATAATGACAACATGATTCTATATCATACACATGATTTAGAATAATATATGTATACATGTTGTGCATGTGTGACATAGAATAATTATATATTGTATATTATATATACTATATATTTATATGACATGCACTTATCATATATGACACACACATATATTATATATATATATATGTATATATAATATATATATGGTTCACATATTGTAACTCTCCCCTTTTCCCTGACTCAATAATTAATCAATAAACATTTATTAAGCACCTATTTTGGGCCATGCACTGGGAATATGATGGCAAAAAATGAAAATCTGAGCTCAGGGAGTTTATATTTTATTGAGGAAGACAAGCTAGAAGGATATAAAAATTTAGATGTCAGCAGCTCAAGGAAGGCAGGGACTGCTTTCTGTTTTAGCACAGTGCCTTCCACACGATAGGTGCTTAATAAATGTTTCTTGGACTAGGGCTTGCAGAAGTGCTGAGCTTGACTGTTGGAAGTTCTCACCTCAGCCCCCCACACAGAGTGAGGCTGGCAAAAGAGTCCTTCTCATTCAGGATGTGACCTTGATAATAACAGCGTTCCTGGAGAGGAAAGGAGTGGAACATATTGTGAATGAACAGTTTTCATTGAAGGAAACCACAAATGTGTACTGGTGGCCCAAGCTTCTCTCTCTATCTTAGCACACAGCCTTAATTCTTGGACCTCCAGATACCAGCTGACATCCTCACCACTGCTGCCCATAACACCGACTTAACTGAAAGCCTGCCTCCCACACCCATAGGGGCCATACAAGATTTCTCAGAATGCTTCAGCTAAGAATGACACATTTATTGCTGATGCTCCAAAACTGCAATGCATTGTTCCAATAAAGAAAATTGGAGTCAGGAGGACCTGAGTTTAAAACTGGCCTCAGACCCTTGACACTAGATGTATGATCCTGGGCAAGTCACTGAAGCCCAATTGCCTCTCAAAAAAACATGAAAAGAAGAGACAATTCATGCTAAGGATATGAGATTTTGGAGCTGAACCTTTCAAGCTAGGCTTAAGAAGCAGCAGCATGGTCTAGTGGACAGAGAACCAGTCTGGAAGTCAGAAACACCAGGGTCCAAGTCCTGCTTCTGACACCTCACTGCTCTGGGCAACCATAAGCTGCAGCAAAGGTGGCAGCCTTCATTGGTTGAAACAGTTTCTTCCTCTCTGCCAATGGAAATCCATGTCCAGATCCTAGTCATACAACTAAACCTTTGATGGTATTTGGTCAACCCCTTAGTTTTACAGATGAATAAACTGAGGCCCAGAGAGGTTAAGTGACCGATATCCAAGGTCTCATAGCTTTGGTGCCAGTAAGGGTCTCTGTGGTTCAATCCCCATCATTTTGCAAAGGTGAAACTGAGGTGGAAAAAAAAGGAAGTGACTTACCCAAGGTTATAAATATCTGAATCATGACTTAAACCCAGGCCTTTTGGGACCTGGGTTTAAATATCACCCAATGTCTTTCCACTATAATCTCCTACCCTCTGCTCTGCCCTCAAGCTTCATGGGTCTCCATGATCATCCTGGTCTCCTAGATAGACTCGGCGTGAGGCAAATTCCCAAAGCTGTAATAAACATATTACTTCAAAGGGAAAAAAGGTTCACTTTTGGTCAGGTTTTCCAAAAATTGGCCTCTGTGAGTTAAAGTGAATTATCAGTGAAAATTGTGAACTCTGTTTCTGGATCCCACACTTCTCAGAGTCCCATCACCCTCTCCAACTCCTGGGATCCTTCCTTCTCCACTCTTACCATGTGTAATAAACTCTTAGGCAGCTTGGGATCAGGGCGCACATTTAGTACTTTCTACACTAAACATTACTCAGCCTAGGTTACTTCTCTACATGGGAGACCAAGATCATAGAAAGAAAGATTGCTTGATTTTTTTGTACTTACACTCCCATCATTTATCAGAGTGCTTGACACATAGTAAGTGCTTTATAAATTCTCGATGGCTTATTGAGTGATAAAGCCATGGCAATATGGAGAGTAAAACTGAATGGCTCCTTCTGGTTCATCTTATTACTGGAGAGTGATCTCTAAAGTTCCCTGATTGGTCTATAGGAGACTTTGCATTGAGGATGACAACTTGATTCCACTAAATGTTCATTTCTTGTTCCCTGCCCCCTCCTCCTTTGGTCAAGTAATCATAAGTACGAGCTGGACGAGGTCTGAGAAGCCAGTAAGTCCAAACACCTCATTAAAAAAAAAGTCAAGTCCTAACAAGAATTTCTTGTCACCATAGCTCTGCGCAGGTCTTTCTTGCTCAAGAAGCTTCCTTGTTTCTAGGATAAAAACCAAATGCTGGGAAACTGTGCCCTAGACAGTATACATATGACTGTCAGGAAAGTACAATGAATCCCAGAAGTTGCCCAGATAAACATTCATAGCTACCGCGGCCTGGGGACTGGTGGTGATCTTCTTTCCATCAGATGAGTAATATGTTTCTGCGTAGTGTGGAGATAGGAGGTCACTGAGAAGAAAAAGAAGCCAGTAGTGACTAATGATAGACTCAAAACTAAGGTTAACTGGGGAAAATCTGTCCCCTGACTTGTCCCTGTGTAGTTTTCAGAGTCACAGAACCTTAAAGTTTGATGGAAATCCAATGGTCACCCACTCTAGTCTTCACCCAAAGCAAGAATTCTCACTTCTATACAACATGGAATTGAGTATGAGTTCCACACTTCAAATCACACCCCTCCATTTGCAAGTCACTATTTTCTCTGAATCTTAGGACCCTCCATTCACAAACTGAGGGAGCAGAACTCTTAGATCTTTTTCAGCTTGGAATTTCCATCCCCTAGAGATGTTAAGTCTTGCTAATATTCTCTCTGTAATATCTCTTCCCTACTGCTTCTTTGTGCTCTGTCCACAGCTATTGACCTCCTCATTTCTTTTCAACTGGATTATTTTAACAGCCTCCTCCTAACTGATTTTCCTGGTTCCAGATTCTTCCTTCTCCTATGAATTCATCTATACCCCTGTTAAATTGATATTACAAAAGCACAGGTCCAACTAAGCCTTTCTCATTATCAATAAGTTTTATTAGATTCTTATTGCCTTGAGGATAAAATACAATTTCTTCTATTGGCCATTGAAAAGGCCTCCACAATTTGGCTACAACTGATCTTCTAGACTGTCCCTACGTTGCTTCCTTTAATGTACTGTATTACTTACTGTTATCCATATGTGACTATATCCTGCCTCCTTCTCCCTCCATGACTTTGCAAAGGCTATACAAGTCAGCCATGCTTATAATGCACCCTCTCCTGGCTTTTGTCTCTTGGAGTCCCCAGATCCCTCCAATACATTGCTCAAGGGTAATCTTCTATAGAAGGGCTTGTAGGTTCCTCTGAGTTATTACTCATGCCCCAGCCAAAGAAAGATCTCACTTGTCTTACTGATTCCTCCTATTAAAGGCTAATATTTTATAGACAAAGAAACCCAACTGGCTCCAAGTCAAAACTACCCTTTTCCTAACCACCTCAATGACAAGTGAAGCTGGGAATGGACACAATTATATCTGCTCACTATTCCTCTGTTCTGGTCACACAAAAACTTACTCAGCTTCCCCTCCTTTTGGGAATTCTTTTTTCCCCCATTCCCATTTCTCTTCTCTTTCCTTCATAATTCATGCTATTTTCTCAAGTCCTAGGTTCCTTTTAATTCCAGTCCCCAATCAAATATTCATAATAACTTTAATAACAAGAAATTGACACTTGTATATTATTTCAAAGTTTACAAAACATATTTTGTCCTTTCTGAGTCTTCCAACGTGTCTTAGATATATCTCTATCTATCTATCTATCTATCTATCTATCTATCTATCTATCTATCTTCTATCTATCTATCTACCTATCTATCTATCTATCTATCTATCTATCTATCTATCTACCTATCTATCTATCTTCTATCTATCTATCTATCTATCTATCTATCTATCTATCTATCTATCTATCCATCTTCTATCTATCTTCTATCTATCTATCTATCTATCTATCTATCTATCTATCTATCTTCTATCTATCTATCTATCTATCTATCTATCTATCTATCTATTTACTATTTTATAGACAAAGAAACTAAAAGTCAGAGAGGTTGGGACTTTCCCATTGTAAAAGACAGAGACAAAATTTGAACCCAAATCTTCCTAACGCTAGTAAAATACCAGAACTTCCATCATGGGTATCCTTCTTTTCTACTACTCTAAAGCTAGTAGCTCTCCAGAGATCCCCAAGTCCTCATTTCTCCTTGGAAAAAGATCAATGTGGAAAATAAAAGTGAGGGTAGATTTGCCATTCATCCCACGTTATTTCCTCCAGCTTTGGTTTGAAGGCATGTGTTCTGAAACCCAAAATGGATTTTCATACTTGAAGAATCAAGTTGGATGACAAGACTCGCCTGTTTTGGTGTAATTGAAAGACCACGTCTTCCCCATTTAATGTAATTTGATATTGCACCTCAGGTTCATATTTTTCCTGGAAAAACAGAAAGTCATTGTCAGCAACCAAGCCAAAAGATTTCTCTTGAGTCTTCTAGGTTGATGAGTGAGACTCTACCTGGGACAGACTTCAGAAAACAACTGGCTCAAAAATGATCAACCCATTTTCAGGAAGGATTTATTATTTAATCAGCCTGGCAAATCCTCAGTGAAGAAACATCATCCCTCCTATGTAGAACATAACCCATCAATGACTTAGTGCCTAAGTCCTAGAGCAGGGGTCTAAACTGGCATCCACAGATGGGTTCTGTGAACTTGGATGGAAAAGTGAATACTTGTTGACTGACTGAAAACTGTATTTAAATATAAGAGATTTTTCAGTATTGTCACCATTTCATTAAGACATATCAACTTGCCGGTCTGTGAAATCAAGCTGAGATACTAATTCCAGCCCTGATGTATATACTGGTACTATCTTGATCTGTCTGTTTGCAAAATTCCACCTTGAGATATCAGCTTTCCCTCTGGTGTTAGCTTACCAGTTTATTATTTTACCTAATGTAGATATCCTCCTTCTGCTTTCAGTTCTTGGATGTGTAAATCTTTCTCTTTCCCTTTGCCTTCAGTAAAAATTCCAGTTGTATCCATCCTGCATTGTCCTATATAAGAGTTCTAAAAATGCTACTCATAGCCCATTGTTTTTTGTGCACCAGAGGACTGTGCTCTAAGAATAAAATGAACTACTTATTAAAATGTCTCCCTGTGTAGAAAAATATGACTGTCCACAATACCTAGCAATAAATCACTGTGTTTTTTAATAGCATTGATTTCCTTTAAGATTCCATATATTTTATTTTATGCATTCAAAAACATTGTGAGTAGGGGGTCTGTAGTCTTCATCAATTGTCAAAGGGTTCTACATAAGATAAAGGTTACAAGTCCTTGTGCTAGGGCATTTTCTGAGAGCTTCTGAGAGCAAATGACTTGACCATGGTCAATTGGATAATATATGTCAGAAGTGGGATTTGAACCCAGATCTTCTTGACCTTCCCAGCAATATATTCTCTATCCCAAGGTGTCTCCATGACTCTTATTTCAACCTATAAATTTTGTGTTCTTAAGTAGACTTGGAATGGAAATCAAAGAATTCAGATGAAGTACATTTATGGAGTTTGGGTAGAACCAAATGCAAAAGATTAAAGCTAATTGTATATTCTTTGAAGAATGACTGGGTAAACATGGGGAGTGGTACCTCGCACAGCTCTAGACATATGATTGCTGCCCAGGGAAAGTGTATCATAACATGACAGTCTATTATTCACACTTGGGCAAAGCCTCATGGGTTGACCCATGCAATTAGATACCACTATTCATGCTGAGGGACCTATCTCAAATGAAGACACAACACATCAAAGGAGGTAAAGACTCCCTAGGAAGGTCAGGGACCTTTTATGGAGGAGTGGATTAGAGTATTGGACATGTAAGTCAGGAAGACCTGAGTTCTAATCTTTTCTCACTTGTAACTATGTGACCCTGGGACACTTACTTAACCTCTCTTAGCCTCATTTTCCTCATCTGTAAAATGGAGATAATGATAACACCTATCTCACAGGCCTGCTGGAGCACAAAATGAGATAGCAAATGTAAAACAGTTTGAAAAGCTTGACAAGCTAGATCGATGCAAGGCATTGTTATTTGCCATTTTATGGTGCCTGCTCACGATACGAGTGTGGACTCCAGTGAAATCAGGCACCACAAATGGAATGGGTATTTGGGGCTCAGGGATCTAGCTGTGGGATGTTTTCCAGTTTTTAGGTTGAGATGACTACCCCACAGAGGCATCCCCAGTGGTTACCTCCTCGCCATAAGGCTCTGTTGGGTTCTCTTGGATCTGTCTTTTTTGCATGACATGAAGTTTTTGAGGATAAACCACTTCATATTGTTTGAATTCCTGTGGTTCGCTTACAATCATTGCTAGAAAGAAAGGAGAGATGTTGAGTTAAGGATGTGGTGACCAACTTCCTTCTGAAGAATGGAGAAACTGGGATACTTCATGATCTGAATAGCCCTTGAAAAATTACAGACATTTTCAGATCCTTTATCTCATGTAATCCTTCCAGAGAATCTCAAAATTTCATGCAGAACAGGCCTCAAAAACCTTGCAGTATAATCTTTACTGGCAATGTGGACACATTCAAGCTGCCTCTAAGATCTGGTGACCTTTACAGATCAGAAATGCAAAGAGGTGAGCAATCTCTTGTTATTCTTGCAGGTCTAATCATTAAAGAGTTCTTTTCCTTGGGTCTCAGTCTCTTCCTGTCTTTGTACTATGGTTTATCAGAAAAATTGGGCTCAAAATCAATTCAAGTCACTAGCACTTATCAAGTACCTACTATGGACCAGAGACTATGATAAATGCTGGAGAAAACACAAAGGTTCCCTATGGCCCAAACTATTTATAACAGCTTTTTAAGTGGCATTAATTTTCACCTTTTATTATTATGTCTCTGCAGCATTTAACATCGTTGATCACCTTCTCCTGAATAACTGAATAACTAACTGTTTTACAAGTCTCTGCCCTGGCCTCTCTTCTTTCCTTCCTCTCTATTATCTCTCTTTGTGATTGTATCAGCTCCCACAAGGTTTGATGATCATCTCCATGCAGGTGTTTCCGAGATCTGTCCCTAATCTCTCTCCTGAACTGCAGCCATAGATCACTAACTGTACTTCGGATGCCTCAAACTCAACAGATAGAACTCACTATCCCTCCCCAAATGTTCTCTTCTCTCCAACATGGTTCCCTCCAAAATTCTGGCTCAGAGGCTTGGTGTCCTCCATGAGTCCTCCTGCACCCTCCCCACATAGCCAGTCTGTTGAGCAGTCTTGTCCTTTCTTCACAACAGCTCATGTAGATGTCATCTTCTTCCCCCTTACCCCTCAGTCCCAACCCTGTTTTAAGCTTTCATTATTTCATTTCCGGGTAACTGGACCATGCTGGCAGCTTTTCTCGGCCTCAAGTCTCTGTCTTGGTTGAATCCACCATCTACTCAGCTGCCGAAAGGATTTTATTTTCAAGTTTGGGCTTTATCGTGTCACCCCACGTCTTGATGAGCCCCCCCAGTTTCCTAATACTTTTAGGATTATAAGTATAATTATCTCCTGTTTTACCTTTAAAGTTCTTTGTAACTTGGCCCCTGTTCTCTCTTAGTCTTCTAATGTGCTCTGTGATACAGTTATATGACCTTCTTTCAGTCCCTCAAACCCGACTGTCATGTCAAGCTACTGTGTCTGCACTGGCTCTCCTCCGTGCTTGTAATGCTCCATTTCCTCACCTCTGTCTCTGGTTGTACCTGGCCTCCTTCAAGTTCTTATCGTTCAGTCATTTTTCAGTCACGTCTGCCTCTTTGTGACCCCATCTGAAGTTTTCTTGGCAGATACTGGAGTGTTTTGCCATTTCCTCCTCCAGCTCATTTTGTAGATAAGGAAACTGAGGCAAACAGGGTAAAATGACTTGCCTAGGGTCACGTAGCTAGTATGTGCCAAAGGCCAGATTTGAACTCAGGTCTTCCTGACTACCAGACTGACATTTTATCCACTGCACCACCTAGCTGTCCCCATTCCTTTAAAATTCAAGTCAAAATCTGTCTTCTAAAGGAGGACTCTCCCAGCTGCCAATGATTTCCCTTCTGAGATTACCTTACATATTTAGATATATCACCTCCATCTTTTGGTTCAATGTAGCCTCCCAATTCCAACTCAAAACCTTTATTCTATACCTTTTCTTGTTGAACATGAAGAAAACTATACTTACCACACCCAAATGACAATCTGATGTAATTGCAGAAAGATTCTGCAAGGTGATGGAGCTATTAAATGTTTTACTAGTAGAACTATTTGAATCTTGCCACTGGATGGGTGTTAGCAATTTGATATCATATGTGAATATCATGTGATTAATAAACATTTTTATTTGACTCTAATTTAACTGTACTCAGTAGCAATTAAGATGCATTTAATGCTAGAAATCATCCAACTGAGGTAGCTAGGTGTCACACTGGATAGAGCCCTGGGCCTGGAGCTCGGAAGACCTGAGTTCAAATCTGACCTCAGACACTTACTAGGTGCATGACCCCAGGCAAGTCACTTAATCTGTCAATGCCTTGGCTGCCTCAACTGTATAATAAAAGCAGATGACTCCCAGAGTTGTAAGGCTTAAATAAGATAATATTGGTAAAATGACTGGCACACAGTAGGTGCTTCATAAATGCTTGTTCCCTTCTCCTCCATCCCATTTATTTTGTATATATTTTCCATGTGGATATTTGTGTATACACTGTCTCACTTTCCTCAAGTAGATTACATTATTGTTATTGTCATTTCTATCATTCTATCCATTGCTTCTAATCCTGATGTACCACCAGAGTCAGATATAATGGGAGAGAAAGAGCTCATGGCTCAGACTGGGCCTTATAATAATTAAAGGGTAAAAGAGTCAATAATTCCTGCAGAAATTCATTCCCAGAGTCATTCAGTATCCGTTTAGTAATAGCCTGCTCTGTGTCAGGCCCCAGGAATATGAAAGCCATAAAACAAAAACTAGTCCTGACCTTCAAGGAACTTATGTCCTACTGAAGAGAATGGGCAAGGTGTGCAACCAAATAAAGGCAATATAATGTGCCTGAGGAAACTTCTGAGGATTCCAGGGACATAGTGACTCAACACTTGCCTTCCTGACTGCTTCTGACATCTGCCTAGGGCCAAAAGCACTTGTCAAGTGGGAATGACAACAACAATCCTGAGTTTTAACTTGGTTGCACCAGCCCTAGGACGTCCACCTCATCAGTACCTTCAGCTTCTGGGGCCACTGTGATTGGAGGGTGCAGCTCCTCCTCAAACTCGCATTTAAGAAGGGCACCCAGGCCAGCAGTCTCTTCATTTCCCACCTGGCTGCTGTCCTTTGGACTTTTCCAACATACCCCTCCCCTGGGTACTCTCCCACCCTCTCCCTTTTCAGTTTCCTTGTGTGTATTGCCTTCCCCCATTAGATTGTAAGCTCTCTGAGAGAAGTGTTTAGCACTGCACCAGGAATTTCTTTTTTTTTTAACTGCCAATAGTAGAGGGACAGGATGCTATATCAATTAAAAAGAGAGACTGTTTCTATGTGACTCTCTCTTCCTTTGATCTCTCAGAGAACATCACGAAACTCAAAGTCTTGGAATGAAGGGTGGCAGGTAGGCCTGCCCTTCCCAGTAAGGCATCTTGTCGACTGCTGCCATAGGGTACCGACAGTAAAGAGACAGGTGTGTATAGGGTTTCTGACTGCCTTTTCTGTTCTCTCTTTCATTTTTTGAGTAGATGACTGATCATTGACCTTGGGGTACGCACGTCCAACCTTGGAAGTGACTTTGTGAGTAAGAGGTCTTTAGGTCTTGGCTTCTTATAATGAACTGAGTGGAAGGAGGGCCATAGTTTATTCACTGAAGAAGAAGACCATAAGCAAGAGGTAGAGATCAATCCCTAGCCTAGCTTGCTGGAAGAATAAGCTTTTGAAGGAGACAGCACAAAACCGAGGAAAATATGAAATGTCTCATTAGCAGACTTGCCAACCACTTTATGTTCAAGTATCAGCTTCCCTCCAGACTATTAGCTGTAACTGCGTCTGTTTTATGTCACCCTTTCCATGTACGTTATGAATCTCATGTTTAGTATTTATCTTGTGCGTGAGGACTCTTTTCTCTTTGGGAAGACATAGACATGAACCCAAAATAAGAATAATAAAAATAAACAAAAATAAAACACCTAAGCTTTAAATATTTGCTACTGGTGGGGTTTTATGAAGCAAAGAGAGTGAGAAAAGGAAGCTTAGCCTTCCCTCTCCTCCCATCAAAGACCAGGCTCCCCTAGGAATAAACCTGTCCTGGACCATAGGCTTGAGGCTAAAGGAGAGGAGACCTTTAGGCAGAGGGAGTACACCGTACCTCCCACACCTTTCAGTGATTTCCTACTAAATATAAATTATAACATGATACAATATAATATAACAAAATACGATACAGTACAATATACCATACCATGATATGATATATGATACAATAAATATAACATAAGACAATATAATATAATAAATATAACAAAATATAGTACAATATAACAAAATATAACACTATTATGTTATGATATATGACATGACCTGATATGAAATGTTATGATGTGTTATGATATGATATATTATATGGGATATAATATAATATAGGCCACCACCATTCAGAATCTCCAATTCTTCTCCAGGCTAACCATCTTCAGATGCTTCAAGCAATCTTCATATAGCAAGGATTCAAGGACCTATGTGGTCATGGTTGCCCTCTTCTTGTTCTTTAGCTCATCTGTGCCCCACCCACCCACCCCAGGAAACTAGGTGGCACAATGGATAGAGTACCAGGTCTAGAGTCAGGAAGACTCATCTTTCTGAGCTCAAATCTGGACCTAGATGCTACTAGTTGTGTGACCCCCAGGCAAATCACTTCACCCTCTTTGCCTCAGTTTCTTAACCTGTAAAATGAACTGGAGAAGGATAGAGCAAACCATCTCAATATCTCTGCCAAAAATAAAACCCAAATTGAGTCAGGAAGAGTTGGACAAAACTAAACCACAAGATTTTGTTTTATTTTGTTTTTCTTAAATTTTGGCACCAAGATCTGAACACAATACCCCACAAGCTACGGTCTGATCAGAACAGAGGACAGCTGGACAGATGCCTTTATATCCTGTCTCTTTTAATGCAGCCAAAGCTCCTATTAGTTTTTTTTCTTTTAACTTTTTTGCTTTTAACACTACTGCCTCATATTTCAGCCCATTAAAACTTTCAGATCTTTTTTCAAAAAAACAAAAACTGCTGTCTCACTATGCTTACCCCATCTGTACTTGTGAAATTGATTCTTTGCAGCCATATGCAGAACTTTATGTTTGTCATTATTAAAGTTCATCTTCTTATTTCCAGTCTGGGACCTTTCTACCGATAATTGAGCCAGCTTACCTTGAGTCTGCATCATGAGCCCCAGTGCAGAAAGCAGAAGGCCTAGAGACATGGTGGCTGAAGATGAAGTGGGGCCTGCTAGCACAAATGTTGCAGCCTGAAAAGCACCACTGCTTTATATCTTCCTAGCTTCCCCTTATAAACCAAAAAGTTCAACTCAGGGTCTCCTCAGTTTTTAAATGCTGCAGAGTTTCGTAATGGAGCCCTTTAGCTGCTTGTAAACAACTGGGGTATCACTCTGAATAACTTCCTGACACAAGACAGGACCACAGAGCTGGAGAGCTCCAGGCAGAGCTTTTGGTCGAATTCCTTGTTTGTTACAGAATGGGAAACTGAGGATAGAGGGGAGGAAATGATGGGGTTGACGTTAGGAAAACTAGGCTTCTTCTGACAGTTACCAGATCACTTGGTCTTCCACACTTAGACATCTGTGTGTGATAGAGGGATCTTGCTCTCATCAGTTCTGCTGGTGTTCCTGAGAAGCTTTCTGCTGCTCTTCAGTGCCTCCCTCTCCTTACGTAAAACCAGGTGTGTGGGACCTCATTCTCTCAAAGCATTTCTTTCTATGATAACACAAGTATATTGAGCAGTTTCTGTGGGCTAAGCCCTGTGCTAGGTTCTGAGGATATAAAAGTAAAACAAACATAAAAATAAAATGAAAACAATCTTTGCCCTTCAGTAAAGTATATTCAATCCAATTCAACCAAAAATATATTAAGTATTTACTGTATAAGCGACTGGGGATCCCAGAAAAGGAAGGAAGGAAGGAGGGAAGAAAGGAAGAAATAAGGGAGGGAAATAAAAAAGGGAAGAAAGGTGGAAGGGAGAAAGAGAAAAAAAGGGGAAATCTGCTCTTGAGGAGTTAACATTAAAATAACAGAAAAAACAAACAGATTGATAAATGGGCAAATATTATTTAAGTCTTTTTTGTTATATTATGTTAATTTCCCAGCATATTGAGAGCTATAGCATATAACAATGATTTTTAAAGACATATGGAGGAAAAATATGTCAACAAAAAATAATCAACAAATCATTTAACTTTCTAAGCTCCCCAGGCCACTCTCTAAAACAGAAGTTCCCGAACTTATTTGGCTTACTGCCCCCTTTCAAAAAATACTTAGCACCACCCTCTGAAAGAAATCTACTTTCTTTAATCCTCTAGCATTTTTTAAAATTTCATCATTTCAAATACACACACACACACATATATGTTTAAAATGATGCATCTTAAATTTAATAATCTATTGCAAATTTGTGGCTTTTTCCCACATTGCAATTTTGATGACACAATATTGCATCATGTAACCATATAGTATTGTAATGTGAACAATTTATTACATGCACATTCCTTCCAATGCATGCTGGACCTCCAACACTTGCTTGTTGAGAGCAGTCGGCGGACTTGACCACTGATTAGTTATAACTTGCATTTTGTGTGTTTATTTGGAAAACAATGTAATCACTATGACTTTAACGCTGTTACACAACAGATGAAACAGGTATGAAGAGTTTTTCAAATTTTTCTTCTCTTTTTTTCTTTCCTCATGCCTTTACTGCCCCCTTATTTTTATGTAACACTCCCCAATTGAACCCAAAGCTGCTACCACACCCAACCTCCCCCCATCATTCCAATGCCCTAAGGGGGCAGTATCACACACCTTGGGAACTATGCTTAAATAGTAAGTTGCAACTAAGGTGTAGATCTTCATTGGTAAAGAAAATTTCCTTATCCAGATTTGCATATCTGTATGTATCTGTGTTTGTATGTGTATCATGTGTATGTACACTTGGGGGTATGTGTCTATATTCATGGATATGTAATATGTATGTACATATATATACATGTACATGTACATATACACTACATGTGCATGTATATACATGCACATGTATATGTATATGATGTCCACGTATATGTATATGTCCATGTATATGTATATGTCCATGTCCATGTATATGTCCATGTATATGTATATGTCCATGTCCATGTATATGTCCATGTATATGTATATGTCCATGTGGATCAAAGAAATCACAGCTCTGATCCCTCACCAGCCCTACGATGGCAGGTAAGCTTCGAGAGCCCTCCAAGTCAGATGAGGAGGTAAACGTAGGAGTTACTCGGACAATGTAGGTGGGGATCCACTGTTTCCCCTTAACCTTTCCACCCCATTTTTTTTACAAATAAGAGCGCTTTCTCAAAGCTCTTCTCGTGGGCCAAGGCTGGCCACTAACATTACAAACCATTGGTTCCTCTTTCTTCTTCTTGTTGCTTGTTCTAATCATGCAGTACAAGCTGTTGAAGGTTGTTGTCGTCCACTTGTTTCATTCATGTCCGACTCTCTCTGACCCCATTTGGGATTTTGCTAAGAAGCAAAGATACTGGAGTGCTTTGTTATTTCTGCCTCCTAAACTGTTCTTAAGATCTTTAATGAATCACCTTGAATCCCTTGTTATGTTCTTTTTTTTTAAACTTAATCAATTCTTTGTAATTGAAAAACAAAAACCCCTGTATTTTCTTTCCCTTTCACTCCCAAACCCTCTCCTAACTGAGGTGAAGCATCTTGCAAGAAATGCACATAGTCCAGCCAAACAAATTTGTATATTAGCCATGTCTGAAAACTGTGTGTTTCATTCAGCATAGAGAGTCCATCACCCCTCTGGCAGCTGGGGGAATGGCATGTCTCATTGTATGTCCTCCTCCAGAGTTGGGCATTGATCCATATTCTTGTCTTTCACTACTGTTGTGTTCACAACATTATTGTTACTTCATTAATTGTTCTCTTGGTTCTTATCATGTTATTCTGTATCAGCTCAAACAGTCTTCCCAGACTTCTCTGAAAATACCTTTTTCATCCGTTGTTCTAAGTGGATATTACTCCATTACCTTCACATGCCATAACTTGTTTAGCCATTCCCCAACTGATGGATTCTCCATTTTATTGTACCTTGTATTGTACTAATTTGTTATATGCTTCATCAATGCTCCCCCCCTACACACACACACAGACATGCACATATAGACATTGAATGTAACTACTTGAGGCCAGGGCCTATTTTCCCCCTCCTTTGTTTCCTCAGCTTTGCGGGTAGTAACTTTCTAATAATTGTGTTTACGAAGAAGACAAAATCAAAGGTGAGAGACAGAATGTAGAGGCCAGAATGAATCAGTTTGGCCTTTAGACGGTCACTAGTCAACAAACACTTTACTAAGGGTTTGCTACATGCCAGCTGCTGTGCTAAGCACTGGGGATACAAAAAAAGGAAAAACAGTCCCTACCTTCAAGAAAGTCCCAGTCTAATGGAGGACACAACCTATAGACAAGCATATTCACACACATCCATTATAAATTCAAGATAATCTCAGAGGGAAGGCACTAGAAGAGATTGGGATGGGGAAAGCCTCTTATAAAAGGTTGGATTTGAGATAACTCCTGAAGAAAGCCTGAGAAGCAGGAGGGAGGAGGGAGGGAATTCGAGGCTTGGGGATCAGCTAGGGCAAAGGCATGGAATTGGAAGAGAGGGTATAGTGAAGAACAACAAAAAGGCCTGTACCTTTGGATTGTAGAGTTTAGGGTAAAAAAGGCCATTGGGAGAAAAAAAAATCATTAAAGAAAATTTAAAGGATTATGTTCAGTTCTGAGTGTCATATCTTAGGAAGGACACAGGTGAGTTGGGGAGAAGCCAAAGGATGACAACAAAGATACCCAAGAGCTTAGAGCTGAGGCTGCATAAGGATGGTTGAAGATAATAGGAATGTTCTGTTGGAGAAGCAAAGGGTAGAGATGATGGTTGCCTTCTTCAAGGGTGTGACAGTCTGCCCAGTGGAAAAGAGATGACCTGATTCTGCTTGGCCTCAGAGGGCAGAAATAGGAAACATGGCTATCCAAATTTCAGAAAGGCAGATTTAGGCTTTCTGTAAGAAACTCATCCTAGCAGAGCTATCCTACTATGGAAGAGGCTGCTTCCAGAGCCAAGTTAAAGCAAGAAGCATTTATTCATCATTTACTGTTCGCAAGGCACAGGCAGAGGTTTGAGAGGTTTTCAATTAGTGTCTGCACAACAACTTGTCTGAGAGGGCTTTAGAGAAGATTCTAGTTTACATACAGGTAGTATAAGATGGCATACTACTATACACCCACATTGGCCAACTTTGAATTCCTCGTTCAGAAATCTCTGTTTCCCATCTCAATTTATTTGCGTTGGCTGTCTCTCCATGCCTGGAAACATTCTCCCTCCTTGAAATCTTTGGTGAAAAGTGTCATTCTACACAGGGCCTTTCCTGATCCCCCAGCTACTAGCATCATTCACTCCTAAAGTTATCCGTCTTTTACTCTGAATGTATTTTGTATGTTCATCTTATATACTACCTAGAAGTTCTCTTGACCAAAGAAGTCACAGGTCCTGTCCTATCCCTGTTCCAGCTGATTCACTGAGCTCCTCAGCTCCCTTCTCACTCTGAGATTTGGTGATTCCATGAAATCTTAAATCATCTTGTGAGGCTCTGGAAAGTCCTCAGTAGACATCAGTTTATATGAATCCAAGCATGAGCATGAGAAGTGTGGCAATATTTGGGGAGAGCTCATTTGTTTCCTGATCCATCTGGAAGAAATAAGAAACAGCCAGAATGTAAATGTTCCATTGAATATACAAATGAGCTACAAGAACCGAACTGAGGACTGGAATAGGGGTCATGAAATGACTGTACTCTATGACCACAAATATTTTACCCCTGCCAAGCCCTAACCCTCCCTCTGCCCCAGGCAACCCGGGTCAACAAGAAGTGGACAAGGAGAGAAGAAATATTGCCACTTGGTCTTCTTGGAAAGTCAGCAGAGCAGCAATGTAGCCATTCCTGGCTAGGGAGATGTAAACATAGATAGGGATGGCAAATGTCAACTTCAGAGAATCCCTGAAAGGGGCCAGATGGTGAGTGAAAAAATCAGCATCAGCAAAGATCAGCACAGGACAGTCAGGCTTCTCCCCCTATAGCAGAAAGGGGAAATGTGGATAATAAACTTTATTACAAGCACTGAGATGAGTTTGGGGAGAAGGCAAGACTTAAAACCTGGAAAAGGAAA